TGCATGGCTTTGGCGTCGCGGTCCGCGGTGCCTTGGAAGTCCTGACGCGCCGTGCCGAGCCGCGCCTCGTGGGCCCTGTCTACCTGCACCTGGCGGGCGGCAGGCGTCGCGTCCAGCTGGCCGTCGTGCCCCGCGAGCTCCTGGTAGGTCTCGTCGAGCACGCGCTGCGCCACCGTCCAGTCAGGCGGCTCCCTGCGGGGCCCCACGGGCACCGTGGTGGGCGCGTGCGCGGTGCTGAGCGGCATCCTCACCTTGGGCCACTCTGCGCGCTTGCTGACAAACATGTGGACCACGTCGTGGGTGGGCAGCGCGAGGGAGGCGTTGGTGGCGGGCACCTGCATGGCCAGTCCAGCTCGGCCTCCCGTCACGGAGTAGTACCCGATGTATTGTGTGTCTCACCGCTGCCGTGACATGTCGGGTTTGGCGGCGCGTGCAGCTGGATGCCTGGCGCGCGGAAACCTGCAAAACTGGCAAGCTCTCCGGGGTCCATGTTCATGTCGCCTCCCATGGCCCAGGGCAGGCCGTGGCGAGCCTGGTGCTCGCGCAGCTTGTTGAGGATGTCGAGGTTCTGGCCCTTGAGCCCGACATTGACCTCGAGGTAGACCGAGCACAGCGCTACCACGCCCATCCCTGGCAGCCGAGCGTGCCCAACGCACGCTCTGCCTGGCCACTGGACCTGGTCCTGCGGGTCACACCAGCAGTCGATGAACCTCTTTGCCAGCGCGGCCACGCCGCCCTGGTAGTCCTTCACCTTGATGGTGGCCGGGGCGCATGCCATGGCCCAGCCTTTTTTCCTCAGCGTGCGTCGGATCTCCAAGAGTCGCCCCTGAGACTGCTTGTGCTCTTGCACGAAAAGGATGCTGTCGGACACCAGCGGGGGTATACCGCGCCCTGTGCCCCACGATGTGATATTAGCCGTCGCAAAGCTTAGGGGGGCATGTAGCTTCTCGTCCCCGCGCGACTCCGCCATTCGTCTCCTCGTCGACGCTGTTACTGTTCTTGCATGTGCTGCTAAACCCGCTGCCGCTTGCGCATCCCCATGTGCTGGCACAGGTCCTCGAGCGCCCTCTTGCTGTCCTCGGAATTGCACGCCTTGCAGATCTCCTCAAACTCTGTGTCGCCAAGGTCCTCGTCAGTCGGCGTTGGGATGTTCTCCCCGCTCTCACTCTTCTGACCGTCTGGGAGCTTCCCCTGGGAGGCGGCGGTCCGCAAGAGGTGCTTGGTGAGGAGCTTAGCGACCATGGCCAGAACATCAGGTCCCAGGTTCTTTGCTTCAGGTGCCATGGCCAGGAGTCGCTCCGCGTCTCGTTGGGCCTCGGGTGGTGGACCTGGCTGGCCCAGCGGCATGGCCCGCAGCATGGCCTGGTTGAGGCAATTCTCCAGCTCGGTGATGTTCGCGGTGGCCTGCGCAATCGCTGCCTCCTGGTCGGCAACTGCTTTCTTCGCCTCCTCGACGAACTTCTCTGTCTCGACGGCGTCCAGCTGCTCCTCGGCGAGCTCATTCTGCCTCCGCCTGCGGCCCTCGGGCTGCCACTCGCTGCTGCTTGAGCTTCGCAAGGTCCTGCTCAAACTGCCCCACGTCGATGCCTCCTTTGCGCAGCGTCGGGATGGACTGCTCCAGGCTTGCGATTTTGCCCTCGAGCTCCTGGATGGCAGGGTCCACGGGCGGCTCTGGGGCTGGGAGGGCAGCGGCGCCTTGGTCTGGGGTGCCCCGAGCGCCACGCATGCCAACGGTGCCGCTGTTCCCTCCTGCAGTGAGCTTCTCCAGCGCCGCGGTGATGTTGGCCACGCCCGCCTCGAGGCGCTGGGGCCGAGGCACGTCACCTCCGCCACCTTGCCGAGCAGATGGCTGGCGGGGCTGCGACTTGGCCCTGGACCCTGCACCTCGCTTGGCCAGCGCCTCCTGGTGGGCGTGCCTGGCCTTTCGCACAACTGGGCCAGGGGCGTCACGTCCGCAGAAGCACACCACACGGTTGGCCCAGAGCCCCTCCTGGCGGCATCCAGTGCAGCGCCACGGGGGCTCCTTGGGCCCCAGGAGCACCTTGCGCCCAGCAGCGTCAGCGGCAGCAGCAGCCGCAGGAGGCGGCGGCATGGCCACGGGCAGCGCCTCGCTATGCTCGCCGTGGTGCCCAGCCAGCGCCTGGCGCGCGGCGGCCAGGCGCAGGGTGGCCCGCGCGCTGGCCCGCCTCCTCCGCAGCCTGCGGTGCCACGCGGGCGAGGGCGAGCGGCTATGGCGCCGCCCGAGCGTTGGGAAGGAATGCGCCGCCGCCCTTAGCAGGGCATGCGGCGTCTGGGGTTTCGCGGGAAACGGGCCGTCCGCAAAGGCCCGCCTCGCTGAAACGCCTCCCGACTTAACGGTGGCGACGCGGGCCTCCCAGGAGGCCCAAAACGCCCCCTGACCCCCGTCTCAAGGCCCCCGATGCTTGCGCCAGCCCTCCGCTGGCTGTCGTCGGCGGGACCGCCGCCGCTTGCCCTCCACCGGGCCCTCCGAGCTGTAGGACGTTGGGTATGCGGACCGTTGGTGCGCAGTTTTCCAGTGGCCGCGGGGGGGGGGGGGGCGAACCCGAGCACGCAGGACGCCACTATCGCGTCGCGCTCGCCGATCGATGGGCCCCAATGGGCCCGCGCCAAAGATCTCTCCAGCGAAGGGCCACTCTGGCGAAGGGTCTCCCGCGTCTGCGGGAGGACCCGGCCGTGGCCACGAGCGGGGACCCCCAGAGGCCCCAGGGGGCTCCCCAGCCCTTGACCCTCGATGCTCGATACCCCAAGTGAGTTTTTTCTTCTTCGGCGTTTCGACATTGGGCGGAAGGGCGGAAGGGGGATGGGGGGGTCTGGCTCCGGACCTCTGCTTGACGCGACTGTTTGCAACAGTATGTCCTATGGTGGAGGGACTCCACCTGCTCGAAACAGGTGCCAAAAACAGCCAAGGTCTACTCCATGGGGGGGGAGGGGAGGGGATGCAAAGTACCGCGCTGATCGGGTCGGCAAAACAATGAACAAGAAAACGATCACTAAACATCCGACAATGGATTTTTTCTCGCGCGTGGCCCCAGACTTCCAACACCTCCCAGGGGGGTATTCTTTCGTCCCGGATCTGATGCTGATGGCCCCAGACCCCGGTCATGGGCCCAGGAGGCTGAGATACAAACATGTAGAACTTTGCATGGAACTTATCATCGGGGATTTTGGGATCCCCTTGACGGTTTCCTGGGCCGTCACCCCAGTCTCAACGGCGGCTGTTCAGAAAAATTCTGGCATTTCCAAAAGCGCCCTCGACGAGGCGCAATTAATGAAATTTCCACCCCAAGACCCGAACACCTCCGCAAAAACTTCCGAAATCTCCGCATATGCCGAAACATCAACCGAGATCTGGGACCCTCCGTCGGCCAAGACACACAGAACATCCAAGAGTACCCTCCCCAGGAACAAAAGAAAATCCAACAACCACGAAGAACATCGAATTACTGGGGGAACCAACAAGTACCGATACCGATACTCCCCGGACCTCTTCCGGGGCGCGTTCTGACCAGGATTTCGAGGCGAATCTGACGGTGGCGACGAGGGCCTCCAAGGAGGCCCCAAAAAGACGAAAACGGGGCGAGGGTAGCGGTATGCTTACCTGTTCCTCCTCCAAGGTACCCTCCCCGAACCGACGTCGATCTTATGCCTCCGTCCGACTGGCTGCAGCGTCGCCAAGATCGCGAACGCTCTCTTATTCGGCGTTTCGGCATTGGGCGGAAAAATGGGCGGGGAGAGGGGAGATCTGGCTCCAGACCTGTGCGTGCTGCGACTGTTTGGAACCGTGCCTCCTATGGGGGAGACTGCACCTGCCTGAGTCAGGGGCCAAAACCAGCCCAAATCACCTCCACGAGGGAGGGTTCGGGGATGGATAGACCCCCCTTTAGTAAAACGTGGTTTAGTGAAAACGACCTGAGGCCCAAACCTGGCGGGCGCAAGCCTGGAAAATAACGGCCACGGCGCCATCTCGAGAACCGAAAACGGACAATTCACTAATCGACGTGTCACTGTTGGGGGTTCTGTCCACCCCCGAAGGGTGATGGAGGGTGCGAGGGCCCGCGCCCATCGGCAAAACAAGGAATAAGGCAACGATCAGGTACACCCTGCGAAATGCTAAAGAAATCATGGGTTAAGAAATTCATAGTCTCAGAACTTGACTAAAAACCCAAATTTTCTATTAAAATCTTAGGATCTACATTGAAACATTAAGAATAATCGAGACCCTGGCCGAACATTTAAGTTTTCTTAAGCATCGCCTAAGGTGTACATCTTCCTCCTCCGAGGCACCCTCCCCGAAGCGACCTCAATCTTGTGCCTCGGCCCGACTGTTTGGGAAGGCCTCCAAGCGGCCGCTGGACCCTTCTAAGAGGGCCCCCTGCACCCTCGGTAGGGACAAGAAAAGGCGACACCAACACCAACAGGGCGAGGAGATGCGAGGAGGCAAGGGGGGTCTCCCTGGTGGTGTGGTCCCCCCCTCTCGCTCGAGACATCCCCAGCCTCCAGCTCGGGGAGGCCTCGTGGACCTCCTCGCTGGAGGTGGCCCCCTGTTGGTGTTGGTGTCGCTTCTCCTCCCTCCGACTCGGGAGCCCCGCCGCGTCCTCAGCAGGCCGCCACCCCTCGCCCCACCCCCCTTATTCGAGTTGGGGGTCGACTGCAGAAAAATGAAATTTGACTTCTCCCAGACCTGACCTCTTCGTGAAACCAGTGAGGAAAATTACAAAGTGTTTTCTGCTTGGGTCATTCGAAGACGGCAACCATTCTGCGGTAAATAAATTCTGTAGTCGATCCCATACTCGACTTGTGCGCGCCGCCAAGGGAGCAGCTGGATGTCGGACCTTCGGGTCGGGTCCAAGAATCGCACCGCATCGTCGATGCATCGGTGTGGAGGACATCAGGCTCTACATCGAGCCGTATCGCCGATGCATCGCCGATGCGCCGCCGAGGCGTCGCCGCTGCGGCGCGAGCCCCCGCAGAGCGCGATCCTCCGCGTGCCGCGCCCGCGAATCCCGCAGCGCCTCCTCCGCCGCCGCGGCCCGCTCCTGCGCCGCCTGCAGCGCCGGCGCCGCCGCGCGCGCCTCCGCCTCCGCCACCGCGGCCCGCGCCGCGCTCTCCTGCCGGGGGGACACTGAGATCCAACACGTTGAAAAAATCACGACGGAGGGCTTTCGCAAGTTTCGGCCCCCAAGGCCCCTCGCCGGGCCTCGGGAGCCTCAAGAATCGACTCGGGATGAAAAACCGGTCCGGGGGAATGGGTCGAGACTTCCGGGGACCCCCTATTGAAAAAATCACGACATTTGATCTCTGGGGAGTCGCAAGGCTCTGCGGGCAAGGCTTATATCCACATCCAGTGCGTCTCAGACTTTCCTGAGAGGGGCGCCACAAAGCCGTTGCGCACCGGAGATGGACAACAATGGGGTCTCTAGGGGCTAGATGCTTATCCAGATCCAGTGCGACTCGGGCTTCTGGGGAAAGGGGCCGAAACTCCCAGCAGCAGTAGATATGGACACAAGCTTTGCCCGCAAGGCTCGGGTACGGAGGATTCGGGCTGGCCCAGTAAGACAAAGCCAGAATGAGGATAAACTATGATGAGGATAAACCGAAAATCTTTGAGCCGCGGCCTTCTCAGAGCGCTCTGGAAAGCTCCGAGAACGTTCCGCAACGCTCGGAAACAAATTATCATCGTCCGGGTACGGGGAGACGTAAGACTCGGGCACGGGGGACTCGGATTGGCCTAGTAGAGGCCTCCTAGATGGGTCCAGTACAGTCGGCCCGTATCATAAGGACGCTCGATAAGGATGCAAGGGCCTTGGATGGCCATGGTAACACTTTGCGAGCGAGGCGCGGCCAGCGAAAGTGACCAAGGATGGGCCGAGGAGGTAAGCATGCCAAGGTACCCTTGGGAAGGTTGCCCATCCTGGCTATGCGGGTTGACTGTACGATGGACTCGGCTTGGCCTAGTAGAAGCCTCCAAGATGGGGTTCGAGCAGATGGGGCCGAGGGGTCGCGCCACATCGCCAATGCATCGCCGATGTATCGGCGATGCGTCGGCGAAACACCGCCGATGTCGGCGACGTATCGGCGACGTCGGCGTGGAGAAAATCGGGTCACCGCATCGAGCCGGATCGTCGATGCATCGGCGATGCGGCGCGATACTGGACCGTCAAAACGCCGGGCGAATCCGTCAAGAAGCATCGGCAAACCCGATTTCAGGCGTACTCGAATCTTGCTTTTCCCCGATCCCGCAGAAGAAAAATTGAGCAGGGACCGACCGTCTCGGCATTCCTATAGGCCTACCACGACATGTTCTAAGAACCCAAAAATGTTCTAAGAACAAACACCGTGTTCTTGGAACATAAAGTAGATGTGCTAAAACAAGACAGCCCCAGCCAGAAATGTTCTAAGAACATATCGTGCAAACCACAAACTGTTCTTAAAACGTTCTCTGGTGGGCCTATTGGCAAGCCAGGACGCCTCGCCGCCGCGCCACCGCTTGCAAAAAAAACGCTTCGGAGCAGGGCAGACTTGAGACAACGGCGGCCCTGCCTGGCGCTTTTTGCTGTTTTTTTGCCCCGCCCTCCCCGAGGTTTCATCTCGCCGCGGCCGGATCCGCCCCGAGACAAGTGCCGAGATGGACCGCGGGAGGGGTTCCTAAGAGGACTCCCAAATTGGGTCGGAGTAGATGGGGTCGAAGGATTGCGTCGCATCGCCGACGTATCGGCGATGCACCGTCGATGATACACTGGCGAGGTCGGCGGTGCATCGGCGACGCTGGCGTCGGGGAGGTCTGGCTCCACATCAAACCGCATCGCCCATACCTTTTCGATTCGGCGCGGTCCTCCGACCCTATCTACTCTTAGGTCGGGCATGTCCCCCTACGGGCGGATTCTGGACGAAGAATCAAACACACTTCAACACTCCAAAAATGCGCATAACGAAAATATGCAAAAACAGTCCGAACCTCGTCCCCCGACCATGTTTTCACCATGTTTGCAGATCCCCCCCGTAGAGGGGCAGGCCCAGCTCAAATCTGCTCGGACCCCATCTGGGATGCCTTGCCTGAGAGTTCCGGGGGTCGAAAAAGACCCCTCCTTCCCAACCCTAGCGCTGGTCTCTGAACTCCACGTGTGCACAGCACAGTGTCTCCAACCCCAGGTGTGCTCGACAGCACCCGGCGGGAAAAACAACGCTCTCTTATTCGGACAACAGGACAGGCCGACAAAGAGAACGCGGGCAAGGCAAGGAATTGTGGAGCGGGATTGGGCTGGGCGGGGGCGCCGCCGTCGTCTCCGGCCGGCCCTCCTCCGAGCCTGTGGGCGCCATCTCTGCTCGCCGGCCCTCGCCGGCCCCAGGGACGGCCAACCACGCGAGGCGGGCGGGAGAGCCAACCCCTGCGGGAGGGGGTCGGGACTTCCCGGGGGCCCCGCACCTCGACGGCGAACGAGGGGGGGGAAGGGACAGGGAGACTGCCTGCTCAGGAGGCGGCGGGACTTGTCAGAAGCCCTCACGCCTTCCGACAGGTGTTCTGTGTCTTCGGGGGAGAAGCTTGGAACACTTCTCAGAAGGCCGGGGGGACTTCCGAGCCTTCTGAGAAGGCCCGCCCCTTCTCACTTCCCCCCGGGGTCGCCGCCGAGCTTTGGAAATCAAGATATCAGAATTCTAGGACGTGAGTTCGACGACCGACGCCCTCTCCATGCCATACCCCTGCTGCCGCCCCCCCTCTCTGAGCGCCAGGGGAAGCAGGGCAGGGATAAAACCATAAAACGTGTGCCCCCCAAAGGCCAGGAATTGATCCTCGTGCGGTCGGGGCGTGAGCGGGGGCATGCCTTGAACTTCGATCGCCGCTGCGTCCGAGAAAATACCGGTACCGATACCCGGCGGCTGGACTCGGCCCAGAAAACTGGTGCCTTCGGATCCCAGGAGGGGGTGCGGGGAGCCGACCGATGCTCCGGTGCTGCTGCCTCCGCTCGCCCGGGGCTTTCGGCGGCGCGAGCCCGGGGGGGGGAGAGAATAGGAGAATCTGGGCCTCCTGGATTGCGAGGCGGGGATCTATCCATATCCACCACCTGGGAACCGACGTCCTGGTGCCCCAGCGGGCGTGGATATGGATACATTGAGGGCGCGCCGCTGGATCACCCAAAGGGGGGGGGGGGGGTTCGGACCCCCCCCCCCCCTTGCCCGAGCCGTGGTCGGCGAACCCCCCCCCCCCCCTCTTTGCCCGAGCCGTAGTCGGCGAACCCCCCCCCCCCTTGCCCGAGCCGTCGTCAGCGACCCCCCCCCCCCCCCTTTCCCGAACCGTCGTCGGCGAACCCCCCCCCCCCCCCCCCCCCCCCCCCCCTTTCCCCGGCTCGCGCCCCGGCTCCGGAACCCCATCCCTACCACCCCCGCCCCGACCCCCCCGAACCCTAACCTCTAACCCAAACCCTGAACCCTAATCCTAATCCCTAACCCGAAGCCTAAACCCTAACCGTAGACCTAACCCTGACCCCAAACCCTAACACTAAGCCTAGCCCTAACCTAAGCTCTAAACCTGAACCCTTAACCCTAACCCTCAACCCTATCCCTAACCCCAACCCTACCCCTCACCCTAAACCCTAAACCCTAACCCTAACCCTAAACCCTAACCTCAACCCCAACCCTGACCCTAAACCCTAAACCCTAGCCCTAAACTCTAAACCCTAACCCTAAACCCTAACCCTAACCCTAAACCCTAACCCCCAAAACCCTACACCCTAAACCCTGACCCTAAACCCTAACCCTAACCCTAACCCCTACACCCTAATCCTTAACCCTAACCCTAACCCTAAACTCTAGCCCTAACCCTAACCCTAAACCTTAACCGTAACCCTAAACCCTATGACCTAAACCTAAACCTTAACCCTAACCCTAAACCCTGAACCCTAAACCTTACCCCTAAACCCGAACCCGAACCCTAACCCTAAACCCTCACCCTAAACCCTCAACACAAACCATACCCCTAACCCTAAACCCTAACCCTAACCCTAACCCTAACCCTAACCCTAACCCTAACCCTAACCCTAACCCTAACCCTAAACCCTAGACCCTAGACCCTAGACCCTAGACCCTAGACCCTAGACCCTAGACCCTAGACCCTAGACCCTAGACCCTAAACCCTAAACCCTAAACTGCAAGCCACGGGCGGTGCATCGTCAGAAGCCCGTGGCGCCTGGCCGAGCGCTCAGCGAGCCTGCCCATACGGCGTGCGCCGCACCGACGAAGCGGCGATAGCCGCTGAGGAGGAATTCGCACGCCGCGCGGTGCATCCCCGTGGTGTTCTCCTCAGAAAAGGAACCCTTAACCCTCAGCCGCAGCCTGCGGGTTCCCTACGAGTCGCTACATCCCCTGAAGCTCCAAACCTATGAAAATACAGCATGCGGTGCTCTCTGGGTGCTCCAAACGTATGAAATTACAGCATGCGGCGCTCCAAGCGCTTCCAAACGCTCCAGGCGCTCCCAAGGACTCTCCAAGCGCTCCCGGCACGCTCCCAGGCGCTCCCAAGCGTTCCCAGGCGCTCCCAAGCGCTCCCAGGCGCTCCCAAGCGCTCCCAAGCGCTCCCATGCGCTTCCAAGCGTTCCCAGGCGCTCCCGGCACGCTCCCAAGCGGTCCACGGCGCTTCAGGCGCTCCCGGCACGCTCCCAGGCGCTCTCGGCACGCTCCCAGGCGCTCCCAGGCGCTCCTAGGCGCTCCCAAGCGCTCCCAAGCGCTCCTGGGCGCTCCCGGCACGCTCCCAGGTGCGTTCCCAGGCGCGCGCTGGCTGCGCTCCCAGGCGCTCCCAGGAGCTCCCGGCACGCCCCCAAGCGCTCCCAGGCGCTCGCAGGCGCTCCCAAGCGCTCCCGGCACGCTCCTGGCGCGCTCCCAGGCGTTCGCAGGCGCTCCCCAGCGTTCCCAGCGCTGCCACAACCCCGAAGCGCTCCTAAACGCTCCCCGGCGTTCCCAGGTGCTCCCAAGCGCCCAAGCATTCCCACGCGCTCTTAAGCACCCACAAGCGCTCCAAGGCGCCACGCGGCGCTCCCATGCGCTCCCGCGCGCTCCCAAGCGTGCCCAGGCGGTTCCAGAAGGTCCCA